TACGCTAGCTTAAACTGAAATTTATTCCAAATTGATGCAGATAAAATAGTTCATCCGCATTTCACATATTATTTGCATTTGCATTTTTATGCGGGCGCACTGTCGAGGTTCATTCGAATGAAATGCGAGATTTGCAAAGAAGAGTTCAAGGGGTCATTGGCGCCACCATAAGTTCATATTAATGTCATTCTCTCAGTCTCTCTTCATCTATCTTTCGCTCGCTCTCGCATTTTAACTTATTCCATTTACGACACTCTCGTACACGAATAAACAATTTAAAAAGCTGACATAATGCCTGCATTAAAAGACAAAACCGACAGCGAGAAATGGCAAACATTTGTGATGGAAAGCACGCGTTGAAAAAAAAAGAACAACATCAACAACAACATCCACAAAACAAATGACTGCGAACAAATGCCATAAATTCGCAGCTCTTGCTTTAAAAATGACAATCAGAATTTTTGGCAATTGCTTAAAATATTAATATCACGCACGCTGCAATATATATATGTGAAATTTATTGTGGTAGGTCGCACCTACCACGCCCACCCAGGGCAAATAATTTTTCATCAGTACATAATGAAAGCACAATATAGAATATGAGGTACATATATGCCATACCATGGCGATGGCGATGTGCAACGTTTTTCGTTCGTACAAATTGAACTTATCGATTTTGGGCTGATGTTGCTGCTGCTGCTGCTGCTGCTGCTGCTGCTGCTGCTGCTGCTGCTGCTGCTGCTGCTGCTGCTTCTACTGTCCACTTTGATTGATTATCCATATTTTTTCTCTTTTTGGTTTTTGTTTTCCTTTGCCGTGACAAATTTGATAAATTTTCACATGGCCAACTGATGTTGGGTATAAAAAAGGCTCAATAAACACAGCAGCAGCCAAGTTGGCAACGTTTTTTGTCTTTGTGTTTGGTGCTCATCTTGACAATGACCCAGACCCCCCAATTGCTTGGCTGACACTTGAACGATATGACCGCCACCCCTTCCCTCACTTACCCTTTCTGATAGTCTCGTTAAAATTAATAAAAATTGCTGTGTTCGATTTATCGCTAAGTTTTCTGATTTTGTTTACGCGAAACTACTTGAGCATTGCCCACTCGACAGAGTGTGTAATACAAATAGCTGTAAGTACTCGTACATTTTCTCTGTGTAATGCAAAGTGTCATTCGAGTGTGGGCGGGGCTAAAAAGCGTGACCTTAACTTTAATTTGCCTTTGCTCTCCTCTCACTTTTTTATTTTGTGTCGTAATTGAATTTCATTTCGTGGACATTTCATTTGAATGTCAAGGCAAATTGAATTAGCTTCTTCGTGTACGGCTGTCACTGCATATTTTAGTTGTTATTGTTTAGAAATACGCATACCTCGCATCAGATTCATGTCGATGTAAAGTCTTTATGAGTCGCTTATAAAAGAATAAATATCATGAAACGAAATCAAGCTTGCGTTTATATTTTTATACCCTGAACCCATTAAAAATGGGTATACGGGTATATTGTATTTGTGCAAAATCCAAATATATGTAACAGACAGAAGGAAGCATTTCCGACCCCATAAAGTGTATATATTCTTGATCAGCATCAATAGCCGACGCGATCTAGCCATGTCCGTCTGTCTGTCCGTCCGTCCGTCCGTATGTATGAACGCAAGCATCTAAGAACCTATAAGAGCTAGAGACTACTAGATGTAGGTGCTTCTAGTGCCCACGTAGATCGAGTTTGTTTCCGATAATCGATAACTTACTCCGTTTCCAAGCGATCGATAAAAATCGATATCGAAATTATGTTTTTTGGGCAATTTTGGTAAATAATAAGAGCTGGAGTCACCAAACTTGGCATATAGCTTCTAAAATAGAATATATATATGCATTTAATGTTGGAAGAAGAGGGTTCAGGGTAACCCCTAGTCGGGAGCTCCCGACTAGAACCTCTTACTTGTTTTTTTTTTTGTAATTTGTCATCTAAATTTGGCAAAATTCATGTAAAAATGGTTCGCTCCAATATATATGACTATCTCTTCCTCTTCTGCCTGTTGAATAATGTTCATGTCGGTGTTAGGCCTAATTTTGGCTCAATTAACAATTTGAGGGCAACAATATTAAAGCGAATTCCGTGTCGGCAGCTTGTACACACATATATGTGTATATATATATATATATATAATTGTACAGAATTATCAGGTCGTTTTTTTTTTGCACATATAAGTTAATACAAATGTGCCTTTAATGTAATTAGTCAACACTGGCAGCCAACGACAATTAAACAATGTGATTAATGTCCCAAATCCATTATGCAAAATATTGAAAGCTAGCAACCAACCAGGCATCAGTCAAGGGGTTGCAACGGCCAACGGCAACCCTTTTTGTTTTGAGGTCAACCACGGAATATTGCCTGTATGTATATTATACTGAAGTGTTTGTGTATTCGCACATAACAGTTGCTGCGTACACGGGTCGTGTTGTTGCTTATTCATGCATATGCATATGTCGGAAATTGTAACGATTATACGCCGGACACACACAGGAAACGGCATAACCCTTGAACCCTGTGGAGTAGAGGAGTTTTCTTTGATCCTATGATCATTATTGGCATTTAATGGTGCTCTGACCATCGCATGTGTTGAAGCATGGCCATTTAATGGGATTTGCAATCTTCAGTACATGTACGTACTTGTAGTTGTATGTTGCATGGACGCAATGCGTAGATTGTTATAAAGCATTTTTAATTAGAGCAAATTTGAAGAGTAGACATCTGGGCTCTGGCAGACATAAATCAGCTGATGGCGAGGACTCAACTAGCGCTTGAAATTGAACCGAAACTAAGTCATTAAAAGTTTGCCGTGACTTTTGCAGTTGCGAATAGAAAACTTCGCCGGCAAGTTCCATCAGAACTGGTGTAAGTCAACGAATGAGTGATAGCAAAAGAGAAAGATAGATAGACATTGCGAGAGAGGGAGAGACGCTGCGCTTATTTGCATCTGGAGGTAGCTCCGCCCGTTGAGGAAGCCGCCGAGGCTGGCGCAGCTCATTATAAATTTGTTGATGCTGCATATCTGGGGCTTTGGCTTCTGCCTGGCAGGATGTGCTGCGCTAGTTTCCTGCCATCTGCTTTTGCTCTTCGCCAGGTCCTGCTGTTATACTGCCTTGGCCATATCAGTTGGTTTTTATGCAGCAGCAGTAGAAGCATCGGGAGCAGGAGTCATTTCTTTGGCATTTCATTCTCGTCGGTTTTAGCTGTGGTGGGGGCTTACGAGCCCGGGGAACTTGTCTAAAAATCACGCATAATTTATTTACCATAAACAAGATGAAGAACAAGCAAAGTCGTTGTAGGGTGGCCACAGCTCGGATGTCCTTGGACACCCACCCGGACGGAACTTACGGAGCGACAGACGAACTCGTTTATGTTGCGAAAAGTTGCTGCCTGTCATCGTTACACTTTGCACATGTGCCGCAATATTACGTATACGCAGAGATTGGCTGGCTGCTGCATTGCTTTCGGAATTGTTGTTCAAATTATGATGATGCTGCTGCTGGCGCTGCTTTTGGTGCAGCACAATCTGAAACATTGAAATACGAAATACAAAATGCAAGCGTTGTGAAAAATTGAAAAACAACAACGTAGGGTGGCAGACCCAGACCCAAACGAGCTAAACGCGAAGAGCGAGCGCAGCAATAAAAATCGCTTTATCTTCATTAAAGCAAGCAAGATATCATTGCCAACACACACACACACGGCACACACACACAGGCACACACCCACCCACACTACAAGCTACAAGCTAAACAACGTCGAGCAAGCACAGTCTCTGCCGCATTGAATAATACATGCAACGAAAATAAAATAAAAGCCCGGCACAGAAAAAACATTGAAACAGTGCAAACGCTCAACCGCTCGAGCCAGTCGCTGTGCGCCAGCGAGAGGCAGCAAAATCAAGCACACGATGCTGGGATAAATGGTAGACTCATGTGTACACGTGCAGGAACTGCTGCACCACCTCAAGGATAAATAGTTGAGCCACCAAGTGGATACATGCATGTAGTGCACAGCGCTTCCCCGGGCATGTGGGCGGGCAAACAAACATGTAGCAGTAAGGTTCAGATGGGGGCACAGCCTTTTTAAAAGTGCATCGCACACTAAGAAATCTGACGAACGGGCAGGCAGGTGTGGTTTTTAAGTGAAGTACAATTGCGGTTAGCTAGCTGGTCCGTCTGGCTGGTCAGCTAGCATAACACGGCTAAGACCCTAAAAATGATACAAATGTATACGACTAGTCGGTCGAAAGAACATCAATGTAAACATATGCCAGTTAGTCTTCGTGTGCCGTTTGCAAGTCAATGCTGAAGTGCAAAGGTTAAATCCACTTAAGAAACAATTGAGCCCAATTAAGATAGCGAGCATTTTATGGGATAAGTATCAAATATGTAAGCGGTATCTGTTACTATAACCACAAATTAGTACTCAGTCTATAGATGGGATTTATTCCCAGAATATTTTAGAATATACTTATATGTAAACTAGAAAAAGAGTGTACCGATATTCCAGACCACCTAATCACCAAACTCAAAGACGGAATTAAATAGAAATTAGGGCTGTTGCCGCTGAGAAGAGTATTTTAATATACTTGCAAGGTCTGCGCAGTTAACTATAGTATATTTTGCCTTTTAAAGTACACATATTGCTGAATGCGCTTCGTCGTGGCAAGGTGGGGTAGCCTCATTTTAATATGCGAGCGCACAAAAAAAAAATTTATTGAAAACGCAAAATATTTGCATGAATGAAGTTGTACAATGGTGAAAAATGGCCGCAGACGCCGCATCTCCCGCATATCCGCAGGTGTTCAAATATGCAGGTGCACAGCTAAGGGTGCGGCATTGGGAAATGGGAGGTGGCGAATAACTATATGAGCCGATGCACACAGATTGCTTGTTTTTCTTGTGCATTTGCGAATGCACATTTTGATTAATGCCGCTTTTCAATTTTCTTGCTTTGCAGGCGAAACGGATACAGAGCAATGAGCTGGCCGCAATAAAAGTCATCAAACTGGAGCCCTCCGATGACATACAGATCATCCAGCAGGAGATCTTTATGATGCGCGACTGCAGGCACCCCAACATAATTGCCTACTATGGCTCCTATCTGCGACGCGACAAGCTGTGGATCTGCATGGAGTTTTGTGGCGGCGGCAGCCTTCAGGACATCTACCAGGTGACCGGCCCCCTAACCGAAGTCCAGATCGCGTACATGTGCCGCGAGACGCTAAAGGGCCTGGAGTATCTGCACTCCATGGGCAAAATGCATCGCGACATCAAAGGCGCCAACATTCTGTTAACCGAATACGGCGACGTAAAGCTGGCTGACTTTGGGGTCTCGGCGCAGATAACGGCCACCATCAACAAGCGCAAGAGTTTCATAGGTGAGTGCGAAGATTATATAACCAGGTAAAATAATACGTTCCACAATGAGCCTATAATAGCCATATCCCATGTTGATTCGTATTGTGAGTCGCCTGCGATGCGTATGCGTAATGCAATTGATTTTTCTTTCAGTTGCAGCTTCGTCTTATTCATTTATAGATTTAAACAGACAGATTGAAGGGACGATGACTGTTCTATTGTTGTCTCGCTGGAGTATCTAGCAAATCTTTGCAAATATTTGCTGTCAACGTGTGTGTAAATTGTTGCCACAGCAACGTTCGCTTTTGTGTTTGCTGCTCGATTTATGCAAATGGAATAGAACGAATTTTTTTTTCTGACTGAGATGTGAGATATGTGGTGAACGTAAGCATATTTTTGCAGATCTCTCAACAAACATTAGTAGCTGGACAGGGAAGGCAAACAGCACAAGAAAATTCCACTCGGGCGGGCCGCACTCGATAGATTGACAGACTGTCCGCATCCATTCGGATAAAGTGCTTATCATTGTGTTTCTGTTATGTTCTCACACACATAGTTGCTAAGAAAAGGACTCTCTCTCTCTCTCTCTCTCTCTCTCTCTCTCTCTCTCTCCATCTCTCTCTCTCTGGTAGTAACCCCAATTGCTTTTCACGCTCTTAAACACTTACACAACAGCTGTCCGAAATAACACGCAAACAAATAAGCATAAACACCAAAATACAGAAAAAAAGATTGCTTTAGAAGCAAGTGTCCGAATATGAGATTCCCGCTCTCAACAAATACGAAAAAAAACATTATAACATTTTTAAATAGGTACAGGATATAAAAGGAGGCAACAGTGTGAAAAAGAAAAAGAGAATTAAATAACTACAGGCACAAATACAAACAGAAGTAATAAGAATAATAATGTGTTTTATAAAAATAAAAATCTCCACTAAAATGTGCCAAAAGCACGACATAAGCGACAGAGCGAGACAAGTGGAGAGAGAATAAGAGTAAGAGAGGGAGAGAGAGAGAGAGAGAGGGAGGGTGAGGGAGGGTGAGTTAAGGGCATTTGGAACAATTCAATTTAAAAAGAAAATATCAAATGCAGACATGAAGCAAAAGCAAATGGGAAAATAGGGAGTTGCGCCATGCAATATGAGGAACCAATGTTCTGTTGGAAAAAAAAAAAAACGGTCTTGAGTCAGGTAAAGGTGGACCGTTGCGGATTCAGGCATTGTTAGGCGCCCGCTGTGCGGCTTCAGGTCCCATTGAGTTTTCATTTTGTTGCCAAACTCCTGACCGACAGAAAATAATTTCTTAAAAATGGCCCTGTGCGCTGGCCGCCTTATTTGTGCGACTTCTTTTGTTGGACTTGCAACATTGAGTGCCTTTTCCTTCTGTTATCTGTTTATATTTCAACACTAATAGATTTCTGCTGCGATGCGTAAAGCTGCTTTCAGCACAACCATTTCAAATCAAAGGCAGGACTTGGCTTTAAAATGTTTTTTTTTCAACTACTTTAAGCTCCAGGGTCACACAGGGTTACGACAACGCGTCGTATACGTTATTTATATGTCAATACCAATTTATCAGTGACTATAGCCACTAGTCCTCGTCCATCCCATTGCAATATTCGTTATTGGATGGACATATTTCACAGATATATGTATGCTAGGATGTATCATCATCACTGTCTGTATTTCTAGTTTGAAACATATCTTATTGCATACTATATGCAGACTAAGTTTAGTTCCAAATCGGAAATATCGAATATCAGAGATTATAGCAACTGGGGACAATCAACTTGGATTGTTGTAAGATATTTCACCTTTGAGATAACTTTTGCGATCGGATGGTAAAAACAAAAGTTTATTGCAAATGATTTTCGCGGTTTTTCCACATTTGCGAGTGGTATTGCCCAAAATCCAGCCAGTAACAATTTCCACTTCGTAACTCTTACAGTTTGGGCTATGCGTTGATCACCAATCAGTCATTCAGTCAATCAGTTGAAAGTCAGTTTTATGTAGCTGCAGCTGCTTGCTGCCTCACTTTTTCTGGTGTCCCTTAGCCAGTTCCATTTGTGGGGTTATTTAACTCCTCTAAAAAAGGGCCACATTTGAGCTGTGATTGCAATAAAGAGACGAAGCTGCGACGAGTTGCTTTTATGTCGGCAAGGATTTATGCTGAGCTTGGACCAGAGCAAGATGAGTTCAGTTTTTAATGCGTTGGTGGCTGTCGTAAAAACCTTAACGCTTGCGCAGAAATTTTAAGTTTTATCCCAACCAGACAATTTGTCGCTAAATATGAGCGCAATTTTATTTATGCTTGCTATAAATTTGTAGTAATTTACCAGCGCCAGTCGTTAATAATTTGAAGACTGCTCAAAGGAAGCTAATAGCTCATTGCGCTCCATATCCTTGCTGCACTTTCTCAAGTCGAGAATTAGCGAAAAATCTCACATGTCAATTGCTGTGGCAGCGACAACGCCCTAACGAGAGCTGCCAGAACTCTTGGTATACTGCAAATGGCAGACAGCAGCGGGCCGGGTGGGCGGTCCTTGTATCGGGGAAATGTAAGCGACATTTGACAACGAATCTGAGGCGCAGACAATTGTCTCTGGCTGTGACTGGCTGTTTGGGGTTGTGTCTGCAGTTGGCGGCAAACAATGTGACGGCGCTTACTGCTATCATCTCGAGTGCTGCTTCAATATGACATTGTTGCTGTGACAAATGTGGTGATAAGCACACACACTTCTGTGTGTCTGGCTGTCTATCGTTGTGTCTGCATATGAAACCGCAAACAGGACAAATAAAACACAGACGGACGCATGCACACACACATTTACACATTGTCAATAACAAGGGATAGCTGCAGGACAACGCGGACGAACAACAGTTGCCAGATGTCGTTTTATTATTTAATAAAAAAATATAAGTGTGCTGATGCTTGTGTTTAGCATCATTTAAAAGTCAGCTGCAACAAACGACGCAACGACTCAGCGCCATCATCGTTGTCAACCTCGTTATCACCTTCTTGCAGGATGGGCCTGAGACTTGGCAGCTCGGCAGTTTTTGCAGCTTGCGCCTGGTTAGATGCCCTCTCCCTCTCTCCGTCGACTGTGCCGACTGTGAATATCAGAAATAGAGTGTCTGTTAGTCGCGCAGTCCCGGCTACAGGCGCGCAATTGACAAGCTGGCTGTCACTTTATGTCCGCATCTCTCACTTTTTAATTAAATTGTGCACCAACTGTGGCAGGTGTCACATCTAGCCAGACCATTAACTGCTGACTGTGGAATGTGGCATGGCCAATGTCAATTGACATTAAATATAATTTAAGTCCTTATGCACTTGGCTTAATTCAGTTGAATATACAATTGCTGACCTTGGCGTTTGGCTAAACAGTAACTTATCTATTTCCATTGCTTTTCACAGGCACCCCCTACTGGATGGCGCCCGAGGTGGCCGCCGTGGAGCGCAAGGGTGGCTACAATCAACTCTGTGATATTTGGGCCTGCGGCATTACGGCAATTGGTGAGCACTTGTTGTGATCAAAGAGTTTTGCATTCATTGATTACATTTGCTTCCTTTACAGAACTGGCTGAGCTGCAGCCGCCCATGTTCGATTTGCATCCAATGCGCGCCCTGTTCCTGATGTCAAAGAGCGGTTTCAAGCCGCCGACACTGAGTAACAAAGACAAGTGGAGCCCAACGTTTCACAACTTCATCAAGACCGCACTGACAAAGAATCCAAAGAAGCGCCCAACCGCCGAGCGGCTGCTGCAACATCCTTTTGTTCAGAGCGAAATGCCGCTGCGTGTCGCCAAGGAGCTACTCCAGAAGTACCAGAGCCCGAATCAGCAATACTACTATCTTGATGGCGACGAGGAGGTGAGCATGCCCACAGCAGCAACACCAGCAGACCGACGGCCCAAAGCCACTTGGCACCTTCTACGTAATTTATATGCTCTTTTAGCGCTGCTTCGCTTGCTGCTGCCCCAGTTATATTTACTTCGTTCGCCTTGTGCGTGCGCTGCCATTGTGGGGCAAGTCCTGAAGATTTAGTGCCCCATTAGACACCTTGAAGCCTAATTTAAGGCAGGCTCCCTAAATGATTTGCTAGACCACAGAATCAAAATGGCGCAGAGTGCGACAGAGCGAGTTTTTAAGATTCTTATAAAGCTAGACGATTAATAATAAGGAATTTGTTTTATTGGCACGTCCCTTTGCTGCATGCGTCTAAAAATGTTCAAACACTTGCTCCCTGTATTATCCCTTTTATCCATTCGATAAAGTTGGTTCTTGCGTCTTTTGAGATTTCATTCGTTCATTCACAAATCCAGCAATTAACAACTTGCTGCAGAATCTTCAACCGATTGAAGAAGGGATTTCGCTTGTCCTTTTCCTACTAATTCTAAATAATTCACATTCTTGACGAGGAGCAGTCCATTAATGGCGCCGTCTAGACGCAAAGTCCAGGGGGTCCTGGACAAACTCGTGTCTAACAAATGCAAATTTAATGAAGGACCAATTTAAAAAGCCATTTTGGGTGTTTGGTTGTGCGGCGGCATGTCAACTCATAAATCTTCAATTTGTTTGGATGTTTTCAAAAACTTTTCGCTGCCAGTCACCGTGTTTGGCATACTAAGAGGTGAGAGGGTGGGGGGTCTAGAGATTGCCGCTTACTTGACTGTTTGCAGTCAACTTGCATTATGCGTATATTCAAATTTTACTTAGCGCCAAGTTTGCGTTTGAGCCAAGCGTAACGCATGGCTCTACAGCTCTAGAGGCTCAGTTTTTAAAGAGCCAAATATGATTTTGATTTATGAGATTTTATCGCAAACTGAAAACTTTGTCACTGCCAAACGGCGATGGCTTCGCCTCCAGCTCTGAAACTAACTTTCGCTTACCGAACCGTCTTCTCTTTGCTCCTTGCCTTTCTCCCACACAGACGGTAGCCGGCGTACCGCAGCGCATTGCCAGCAAGATGACGTCGCGTGCCAATGGGGTTCCGGCGCAGAACCACACGCTCAAGACAGGCAAGTTGGAAGACCTACAAAAGGAAAAACTGCCAGCTAATTACATTTTGCCTTTAAAATCCCTTCCACAGGCATGGCGGCAAATTCGACGTGGTACGAGCGATCTTCTAGTCCTGAGACGTTGCCCAGCGACATGTAAGTTGGCCCAATACATATACACACAGATATATACATACGTCTATATATATTTTTTTAAAAGTCGGGTTGCCTGAAACTTTGCTATTATTTGTTTCTTTCTGAGTTAATTAAGATTCGCTTTTGCTACGATTTTTATAGCTGCCTCCGTTTTTATTCCATTTATAATTCAGTTAAACTCTCTCTCTCTCACACACACACACATATCTATACACACTCTTACAGATACTATTGTATATTTAATGTTGTCTTCTTCTTGGTCTCATCATGAATCTGCCTCTTGCTTACACACACTGTTTCCCTCTCTGTTTACTTATAGTCAACAGCCAGTGCGACCCAGAGCCAGCGGCACTCTGATTATGAACATGTCCTTAAGGTTAGATTAGCTTCTTTAGCGTGCCTGGAGTGCTTGATATGCAGCTGCTTCATCTGCTGCTGCTACTGCTGCTGCTGCATTTGCATTGTAATCAAATTTATGCCTGCCACTTTTTGTGGCATCGCGGCGACGCCCGCGGTGTGTGCGCTTAATGTCATTTAGCTGGCGCCAGACGCTGCCTGGCCTTGTCTGGCTGCGCTTCCTTGTAGCTGCAGCTTGCCACAGCCGTTTGCTTCATTTAGCAGTCTATTTGACACACTGTGTGGCACACAGCACGATTTCTGATCGAGCACGCGCCTTTGGTAATTTGTTCGGTCTACACACAGATCCTGCACACACACACACACACACAATTTGGTGTGCTGGCAATTGTCAGCCGTGCTGCACGTATGCTGGAGCTGTGCTTACTTTTGCTGCAAGCACGCAAACGTTTCATAGTAGGAATTTCGCGCTCGCGCTTAGTTGGCTCTACGTGCTGGGAACAACTCTGTGCGAAATAATTGTTACCTAGGCAACCTGTGTAGGTTGATGGATGCGTATTTCCCAGTGCAACGCTGCAATTAGCAGCTGCCTGCAAGAGCGAACGCACAAAAGTATGCTATACAATAATAATAAGCGGCAATAGAATTGCATATAACACACACATACAACATGCACCCACGCGCAGCAGCAAATGGATTGGCGCAGATTAAATACTCTTTCCACATATCCAAAGAAGTTTTCTCAAACAATGCCTAAAGTAGCTACAGGATATGAGTTTGTTTTTAAATTTGGAATCAAATAAAACATGTAATTGTAATTCTTCGAAAAAATACCAGTTGGTATACCATCGGAAGCGAACAAATCGGACTCGTCTGTTGTTACTAACCAATAATATAGTTTCGTTCGCTCTTACATTTCGTTTGATTTTAACCCTCGTAAAAGGGGAAATCAATATTAACAATTAACACGCGCACGTATACGCCACGTTGTACCGACATAATGCGTGCTATTTGTGATTTACAACGATGACATTGTCAGGCAGCTGCTAACCTTTAAGGATTGCCATCTATGCAGATACACATATGCGTTTGCCACTTGCACAACTGCTGCCCCCCCTTGTTGGGCGAGCCTGTCAAATTTGTCCTGCTTACTTTTTTATTGATGCCATAAAAATCGACAGCGTCAACTTTTATGTACTTGTGTAAAACGCTTACCCCACCGAAGAGTGCCAAGTGTATTGGCAGACTGCCACGCCTTCGCCCACGCGGCTCGATTGGCGCCCGAAAAGTTTGCGCGGGTGACACAATTCCTAATGTTATTCTTTTGTGGACTTTTGGGCTGCCGCCGAAGGCTACCCGACAGCAACAACAAATGCGCAAAGAACAATAAACATCATTAGAGCCGAAAGAGCACTGAAAATATTAGCCAATTATTTTAGACTTTTATATTTTGTGACTTTTCTGCTGTTTAATAAGCCTATTTGGGGTTATCCCTCAGTTAAGTGCTGGAAAATATGATACTAAAACAAATGATGGCCTTTTGAAAATTAGTTAATTTGTGTTTAATTAGCCCTAACAGCATCCTTTTCTTCGTTGATTTCCATTTAACGGCGCCCGCTTTACAGTTACAGCTACAAATAACAGTTAAAGATTTTCAGCATATACAAAACACAATTTTGAAACCAAATTTATTCACAAGTTATGACAGTTGCTTGACTTTTTGTTTTGGTTTTATTATTGAAAATGTTTTTACACTTTTTAAACTAATTTTCTTTTTGTTTCTACTGGAATCTTAACAACGATTTATTATTCTTTTATTTTCGTTTTCTTTTCGTATATTTTTTGTGTTTGATTTTTGTAGGAGCCTCTTACAATATATTGATGAGGAACTAAAGTTAAGGTAACTACACCAAATAATTTCTTTTGTGAAACAAACAAAAAAAACCAAAACTTAGATTTAGCTGGGCAAATTAACTAAGCAACACGACACTTACTACCTCTCAAATCCCCCCTACACATACAATATCATATAGACAATACGCACACAGAAACATGTTTACAAAGCTCAACTAACTGGTGAAGTTTCCTACACACATGCATAGAGGTATCTATCCACACACAAATACACCGAGACAACGTTTCCTTAGAGTCAAATTTGAGTCTCCCTTTTGTCCTACTACTCCCTCGCTCCTTATCTCTTTCTCTCTCTCTCTCTCTCTCTCTCTCTCTCTCTCTCTCTCTCTCTCTCTCTCTCTCTCTCTCTATCTATCTAATTATCATCTGTGGCTGGCCAGTGTTAGTTTGTTTTTACCTTAATCTCACCTACTTTGTGTCTATATTTTTTAACTCCCATTTTCTTCAATTTATTTACTGTCTTTATTTACAAGTTTCTGCAGTCCTTGTATTTATTTTGTTAATTTTGTGTTTGTTTGGTTATTATCTGCTTGGGCTCTGTTCAAAGCTTCTACGGTGCGTATACGTAATTTGCATTTGTCTGCTGTGCATAATACGCATACGCACAGCGTTCTCTGTCGATAGCTAAATTATGCGTGGACTATAAAAATAAAGATTCAACCGACAGACGAAAACAATTCTTAACTAATTCATACAAGCATGCGATCATACGGAAATTTAACGAGTCCATCCGTAGCCCGGACCCTTTTTACAACTTTCCGTCTATTGTTTATTTAGTGCGTGCGTAAAGAGTTGTCCACACATTGCTTTTATAGTTATTATAACTCTTATGGCCGCTGCTAACTGGTGCCAATAATCCCGGGTAGACCTTTATTTATTTGATTGCTTGCCACCCCATAAAAGGGCATCACATTTGTATTGTCTTATTGTATTCTACCAAATGGCATATGACACAAATAAATAAGAAAAACGGAGAGACCTATTTGGGCAATTATGCTCCGGCATAGACACAGCCACTTCTGCCGCGGGCGTTTATTAAACAGAGGTGAAAGCTTGTCAAAATATGCGCACAAGCGTAACTTTTCCATTTGCCAAAAGGCATTAAAATTCCCAAAAATATTATTACAAAAATACCCGCAGCTCACACAAAAGCCTCATTCTGCACTCGATTGCTAATTGAACAAATGATGAATTGATGAATTGTGAGCTGTGGCATGTTTAGGAGCAACAAATTGCAAATAAGGCTGGCAAAAAAAGGAAAGGACAGTACTCAAAACTAATTTGCAAATGAACAGACGGCCACTTGCCTCGTCTCCATGCGCCCCTTCCCCCTACCCCAGCACACATGCCCGCCTTTGAGCAACTGTTGAGATTTTTCATAGAGAATTGCAGCTCTTCTTGTTTTCTATTTTGCTGCTGCTTGCTTCAATTCATTTCATTTCGGATATTGCTGAAATTGTTCATTTTTTTTAAGAATTATTTTTCTCCGTGTGTTGTGCTCTGTTTTGTGTGTTTCGGTTTCCATTTTCTGTGCATTCATGTGCGAGGCTATTTTCTATTCGTGTGCGTGTGCGTGTGTGTGCCTTTGCCTGTGGATCTGTGTGTGTGTGGAATGCATATTTGTTTTGTGCACAGTTTTGCATCTTATGAATAATTTATGGCATTCGCATTACCTTATTTATTTATATTGCGTCACATAAGACCAGTCCATATTTTATTATAGAAACCATTCCTAGTCTTGTCTCTATTTCGCGGTGTTGTCCAACCTATTCGAATGCATGTGTTGCACACTAACATCATCAACAACAACAACAACTAAAATAACAACAACATAAGCCATCACATATATCCTCGGGAGATTCACCCAGACACACCCACACACGCAGTCTTACTATTAACCCATTTGGAATGCAATTCTGACACCCCCCACACACACTACACGTCCAGTCTGAAGCTGCACGCAACAACAAAAACAACACCTTCGGCTCACTCCACGAACACAAATCCTCGCCTCTAGAGAGGGCCTACAAAGTGATAGTTGTGCGTTTATCAAGAAGCTCAAACACTTTGGCTTTCTTTTTCTTTCTCTTCCCATGCGGATCTCACTTGCTCTCTATCCCTATCTTTCTCTCGCTGTGTCGCTCTTAGAGCAACTTTGCCATTGAATGACACCAAAGATTCGGCACTTAGTGCCGAGTGCAGCTGCTCCAACAATTGCGTCGCTGGAGGCGGCATCGTCAGCGGGGGCGGTGCATCGACAAATGGGGGCTACAGCGGGGCTGGCGCGGGCAGCAGCAACAGCAGCGCCGGCGGCATCATTAGCGGCGGTGGCGGTAGCGGAACCAGTGGAGGCCATCATTACCACCACCATCAACATCATCATCAGCAGCAGCATCATCATCATCATCACTCCTCGGTCACGGGCAGCGGCACAGGCACCGGCACCGGCATAGCCAATGTCGTCATAGCCACTCAGCACAACCACCACAACCACAACCAGAACCACCAGCACCACCATCACCAGCTTAACCAGCAGCAATCAACCACCGCACTGACCACATCCAGCACCAGCAGCGCCTTGGCCTCCAATTTGAATTCGAATCTGAATCCCATGAGCATCTCCGCCTCGCTGGTCTCCATGCCGGGCCTAAGCGCCTATCTGGGCCTCTCCAATTTACGCACCACCAGCATTGGCGATGGCGATGGCGATAACGACATCAATCTAGACGTCGACATTGCCATGAATAATGCGACTCCTAGTGGCGGTCCGATGGCGTCTTCTGGGTCGTCTGCTGCTGCTGCTGCTGCTGCTGCTGGCGCCGCCGGCGGCTGTGCCTCTGGGTCGGCATCAACTTCAGGCGCTGGTTGCTCCGCCTCCGCTGCGCACTATCTGCGCAATAGCAGCAACTATCGCTCGGCGGCGGCTGCGGTATCTTCAGCCGCGTCTCATGGTGGCGACATCCATGGGCTTGGGTTGCTTTCATCGCTCGCATCCGGCAGCACATCAGCAGCAGCGTCATCCGCATCCTTTTATAATCGCCTCCTACTACTCGATAATTCCAGCGGCGATGCAGTCGGCGGCAGTGGCGGCAGTGGCGGAGGCGGCGGCGGCGGCAAAGGCAGCAATGGCCTGGACAGGCACGAGGCGATTGCCACGCCCCCGGCTAGCACACAGTCAGCAGGCGATGGCTTCTTGCATTCCAACAGCGCTTCAACCAGCTCAGCGGCGGCGGTAGCTGCTGCGGCTGCAGCTGCATCGTTATCTGGCGCCGGCGTCACAGCCAGCAGCTCGACGCATGTTTACCAGAATCTGCTGCGTAGCGGCAGTGAAGTCCTAGAGTCATCCCAGACGGACGCGACCGGCAGCGAGAACAGCAACTGTGATTACCGAAGCGAGAGCAACCAGGTGAGTATCTGAAGCTGATTGAAGGGTAGATGGGATGATTTCTATGTTGTATACGGTATAAACAGAATGGAGTAGAGGACTCGCCGCGACGCCACAGCTCCATGGATCAGCTTATCGGTCTGCTCAATGACATGGGCAAGACGTCGCGCACGCGCAGCCTCAGCGACGGCGGTGCCCAGGACGATGACGAGGGTGAGTGGGAATTGGTGGTCAGATTAGTCCAGCTAAAATAATCCCCATTTCCCGTTGCAGTCGAGAAAGAGGCGCAGCCGGATCTGCTGAATAATACGCCACCTGTGCCGCCAAAGCGTTCGCATCGCCGACGGCATACGCCGCCGAGGCCCATCTCGAATGGGCTGCCACCGACGCCCAAGGTGCACATGGGCGCTTGCTTTTCCAAAATCTTTAACGGCTGCCCGTTGCGCGTGCACTGCACCGCCTCGTGGATACATCCTGAGACACGGGATCAGCATTTGCTGATTGGAGCCGAGGAGGGCATCTACAACCTGAACATGAACGAGCTGCACGACGCGGCCATTGATCAGCTCTTCCCGCGCCGCACCACCTGGCTATATGTGATCAAAGACGTGCTAATGAGCCTTTCCGGCAAATCCTGCCAGCTGTATCGGCACGATCTAGTCGCACTGCACTCCAAGCAGACGGTGCGCTTCTCGCTGCACATGAACAAGATACCGGAGAGGCTTGTGCCGCGGAAATTCGCGCTCACCACCAAAGTGCCCGACACGAAGGGCTGCACCCAGTGCTGCGTCACCCGGAATCCGTACAACGGATACAAGTATCTGTGCGGTGCGACGCCCAGCGGAATCTTCCTGATGCAGTGGTATGATCCGCTCAACAAGTTTATGCTGCTGAAGCAGTGCGAGTGGCCGGCCATCAGCATCCTAGGCGGCGGCCATGGTTGCGTTCAAAACGGACATACGCCCGTATTTGAAATGATCATCACGCCCGAGCTGGAGTATCCGATTGTCTGCACGGGCGTTCGAAAGGCCCTCAACGGCTGCCTCAAGTTGGAGCTGATCAACATGAACAGTGGAAGTCCGCATTCGATGCACTGAGGCAACAGTTGATTAACGCTTCGTTCCATGTTTCAGGTGCCAGCTGGTTCCACTCGGAGGACTTGGAGTATGATGCCATGGCCACAATGGTGCCTCGCCGTGATCTCTTGAAGGTGGTGCGCGTTCATCAGGTAGAGAAGGATGCAATTCTTGTCTGCTATGGCAATGTGATGCAGGTGGTCACCCTGCAGGGCAATCCCAAGCAGCACAAAAAGATGGTTGCCCAACTCAATTTCGACTTTAACGTGGACAGTATTGGTATGACATCTCGCTCTGGCTCTCATTCTCGATTTCCTTATCCCAATATCAATGATTCTTTTCCTTTAGTTTGTCTACCGGACAGTGTATTAGCATTCCACAAGCACGGCATGCAGGGCAAGTCTCTGCGCAATGGCGAAGTGACGCAAGAGATCAAGGACATGAGTCGAACCTATCGGTTGCTGGGCAGCGATAAGTAAGTATATCCAATACTCTTGCTAGAGAAAACCTTTTAATCTGTCTGAGTGACGCATTGGTGACTTCAGACTTAAAAATGGATAGAAAACAGTTGTATGCAACTTTTTAGTTTGTTTTAATCAGTTTTCGGAATATTCTCCCTTCCTGGGCAGACATTGGAGTTCCCTTAGTTTATTTGGGCTATTGACCGATTGATTTAAAGCCTCCTTTTCAAATCTCTTCATAAGAAGTTAATGACTTGGAAGGAGTTCAGGCTATTACTTTTAGCATAGGTGTAATATTTCTTGAGCAGGACAGAGCCCGATAATAGCTACTGCTGTTTAATATATAAATCTATCTCGTTTTCTCGTTTTCGTTGCTAGGGTCGTCGCCTTGGAGAGTCAACTACTGCGCACCGGCTCGCTGGGCAGCGAGGAGGGGCACGATCTGTACATCTTAGCCGGTCACGAGGCCAGTTACTAGGCGGCGCTACTTGTTATTTTATAAATATAAATACACATATGATACAAGATTCACACACACACAATAAATTTGAGATGCAAGCGAGCAGCTGTCGTCGGGCGGCGTCAACTACTAATTGTAATTGAATTACTCGTAGGCCGTAAGCTAAATTAAATACAAATCAAGCATAGGAAACTACAATTTTGAGGGCTACTTAGAGCGCATTTAATTCTAAAACGAGATTCTTGAGTCTCCCCCCACCCCCATTTTTTCCATTCTTTGCCAAAATCTCTAGGAATGTAGTTAAATGTATTAAACGAGTTAAGCCGCACAGTCAGTCTACCCTGTTCCGTTGTAATTATATTTTTGTATTACAAAGAGATAAAAACAGAAATGCTTTAAATTGTATGCCTAACTTTATTGGTATTTTGCATAACAATTCATTTTAGAGAGAGAGTAAACAAAATTTGTGTAACGAACACAAAGCAAAAAAATTTAGTTTATAGTTTCGAGAGATCCGGAAAAGAAGATTGAAGCAGCTAAAGAGTCAAAGTTGGCAAGTTGAGGTAAGGCGCGTAATTATTGTCGTAATATTACTGAAAATTTAACAGAAATTGCATAGGTTTTAGCCATTGTAAATCGCAAGTGTTTTGTAGTTGGTAATGTAAAGCGAAACTGCATTAAAAAGTCGTCTAACAACCGACAAGAAAAGTCTAATAAATGTGAAAATTGAATGGATGGAGCGCATAAGGTTTGTTGGGAAACAAAATAGATTAAGCATTTTCTTAATAAAAAATAAAAACAAAAAAACACATTTGAACAACAGTTTACAATAAATTGTTAAGACCTTCAAATGGCGCCTGTATTAGTTGTACGTTGAAAACTGATTGTCATAATTACGATTTTAGCCTAAGAAGAAATCAATTTTCCGAGCACACACTTTTTTCATCAGTTAAAAAAATATATGCTTTAAGTTAATTAGTTGTACGTGAATAGCGAGAAACCGAAAATTATAAATTAATACAAAAACTTGTTGAACTTTAGTTTAGTGCAAAAATAAAAATTATTTAAAAAGAGATTTGCCTTTTTTTTGCCTTTTTGAAAAGCGCGCTTTTTGCATCGAGTTGTCAGCACTTTTAAAAAGAAGATGTTTTGTGGTATTATTTTGCTCATTTTTTTGGTATTTATGCTATGACCGGCTACGGTCACACTGACAATAACAATTCAATTTCACGTGTTGCCCAAATTATTTTATTTATAAATCAATCAAATTAAATAAATAATAACAAAATATGGTGTTCGAGGTGCCACCGTGGGACAAGGGAGCTGAAGTCATCCAATTCAAGCCCGTGCAGGAAGCGGCCAGTGGAGCCGCTGCCAAGACAAAAGCCAAAAAACTCAAGAAGAAAAAACCAAAGGCAAAGAAGCAGGCGGATCAGTCAGATTCTACACGGGCAACAGTCGCGGGCTACAGACTGGGCAGAGGGCCGCTAGCGCCGCCGCCGGATTCCTCAGATGATGAGGCGGACGATGAGCTGCGGGCCATGCGCAAGGTCAGAAGCGGACGCATTGAAAAGCAGCGGCCAGCAGCCAAAACAGCCAAGGATAAAAAGAAGCAGCTGACACTACTGAAGCCAGCCTTAATACAGGATGCAGTCGAGGCCATGGAGGCGACGCCCACAACCGCAGCAGCTGGCCCACCGACCACGTTGGCCAATAAGCTGCAGTCAGAGCTGCTGGGCGGTCGATTTCGCTACATCAATGAGCAGCTGTACACGATGAACAGCCAAAAGGCGGAGCAACTTTTCCGCTCGGATGGCGATGCCTTCGAAGCCTATCACGCCGGCTATCGTCAGCAGGTGGAGAAATGGCCAGCGAATCCGTTGGCGCGCATCATTAAGACCATCAAGAGGCTGTCCAAAACGGCCATCATTGGTGACTTTGGCTGCGGCGAGGGCATGCTGGCGAAATCGGTGCCCAATAAGGTGTACTCCATGGACTTGGTCTCGACCCGGGCCGACATCATTGCCTGCAACATCACCAAAACGCCGCTGGAGCCGCAATCGCTGGACGTAGCCGTCTACTGCCTCTCGCTGATGGGCACCAACCTCACGGATTATCTGCTGGAGGCGAACCGTGTGCTCAAATTGCACGGCAATGTCTACATTGCAGAGATTCAGTCCCGCTTCGAGGATGTTCGCGAGTTTGTGCGCTTTATGAAATCTTGCGGATTTGATCTGGTCAAGAAGGATGTGGCTGTGAACTATTTCTACTTTTTCCAATTTCGTAAAATGCAACACGTTGACAAGCTAGTCAAACTGAAGCCCTTCTCGCTCAAGCCTTGCCTGTACCGCAAGCGGTAGCACTAATGCATTGAATAAATAAATGTAGTTAAATAATTCATATTTTTATTGGTTTTTTTTCGAAAAGTGGGCTTGGTCCTGGATATAAAGAACACAAAACGCGCAACCTTGCCGCGATCGGACTTTAAATACTTGAGTTATGCCCATTTGGAGTTTTCAATCTGAAAATCTCCGCTATTTCTCGCCCAAAATCTTTCGACAAAAGTCCTGATTCTCCAACATTTCGCAAAATGCAGTAGACGTGAGGCAAGCTTTTTATGCAATAGATGGCGCTTACTATTTGTAAGAAACTACATCATTCAAACAAGAGATGGCGCTTTGGAGAAGGACAAAACGACTCCGTTATAATTTTAAAGTTTCTGGTTTTTTTTTAGCGATGTTCCGGTTAAAAATTAGTACGATTTTGTTTATTTATACCTTTTTGCGCTCGTATCTTGCCGCGATTGGACTTCAACGATTCGAGTTTTTGGAAAATTTGCAATTGTAAGTCTAAAAAACATCATTGCATACTTTCACATGCAATATTGAAAGATATTGCGTAAGTAAAAAAATCGTTGCATACTTCCATATGCGAGATCATACTGTTTGCACTGCTTGCTGCTGTTTAGCCGGTGCGATGACTTCAAGCAGTGCATGTACAGAAAATTATCACAGCATACTCTTAAGCGGAAACCTTTATGTGTCTATTTGATAAACAAACATTTGTAACATTCACAAGCGCTCAAAAATAAAAAAACACGAGTTATTTATTTATAACATTTATTTTATTCTCTCAACACACATAGCTGTCTGGCACCCCCTGGAACATGCGAACTTCCGATTTGAAAAGAGACCTAAGAGACCACGACCCAAAGTCGTGGACGTCATAACTCCAAAGGCTTCAAACTTTATTACGCGACTTATTTTATATATATATATTATTACGCGCCCTTTTAAGACACGTAGAGGAGGAGTGGGAGAAGTTCGAATGCGAAGGTTTCATCCAATCGAACTCTCAGATCACACAATCATTGTAAATTTTTATGTTACATTTATTTACATTTAGCAGTTGAATAAAAAATATTCATATTCGTATAAGTTTAATTAACGTTGTTTCCATAATAACGGTCCAATTGAAATGAAGCAAACAAAGTGTAAAACTCAGGTTATGAGCGATGCTCAACAGTTGAGCAATTGAGCGTTGCCATCTAGACCAGAAGGTGGGCACTTACGCTTACGTTTTGTAGCCATGACGTCATGCGCGCTCTTTTTCTCTCTCTCTCTCACTCTCTTTTCATACTAACTCAATTCGTGAGGCAGTGGTTGCTTTGCGACTGTGACTCTGCCTCTTCAATATAAAAATTTATCTCAGTACCAGTTTGCTCTTCGTGCGTAGCATTTCGAATATTTTTATCACGGTACGTTAGCCGCCGCAGGCCAATAGGGAAAATATAATAACAGGCAAGAGAATTGCCAGAAAAAAAAAATCATTGCATCTGTGTGCCAGTTGCGAAAATTCGCGCGCAATTTTGTGTTTATAAATAAAAATAGTACAACTTAAATTTTGGTACCGCATTAGTGCACTATTTCACACACCCACGCCTAGTTTCCACCCAATTACTGCGCTCACTCTCTATTTTACTATTCTCTATTACTCACTCAACGTCAATTTTCAACAGGTATTCAACGACGACGACAACAACAACAACAATAAATTGTCTTTTTTTGTGTTCAATAGAAAAAGTGGCCAAGAATTTGCTTATATGTATTTGGTGTACAGCTGTGTGTGTGTGTATTTGCGTATGTGCAAAGTCAACTAAAATCTGCCAGGCGTTTGTGAAAAGTGAAAACAAACGAAAACGTAATTGTGGAAAAGCGCCGCAAAGTATTCAACGCTTCCTGTGGATTAATAACTGAAAATTCGAGCACAGCTTACTCGTAAGTAACGGCAACTGCAACTTCAACTTGAGCTTTAATTTTCCATTTAGCTGTATGTGGTCTCATTCCATTGCAACAACGGCAAACGCGCCATTAACTGTTGTTTAGCTCGCACACAAGCTATTTTTTTTTTTTGGGCTGTGGTCAGAGTTTTCGATTGCCTGCTTCGACTCCGAATAATTTTATGCTTTTGACATACACACACAGCAAGAACAGTATGACTTCATATCACACACATACACACACGCACACGGGCACACACAAATAAAAGCTAAACACTCTCTCACCACGCTCTCAGCAGAGTGGCGAGTGGAAGAGAGCGAGAACGTTGACGCTGTCGCTTTTTGGCCATAGCTTCGTCAAGCTTTAGGTGTATCTTTTCGTACGTTTTCTTTTCTGTTTCTTTTGCTACTTTACGAGTTATTTTTGCTGTTGCTCTTGTTGTTGTTGCTATCTCACTCGTTGTCGCATTTTGTGTTTTTCTCAGTTGTTTCGCATTTGGCTTTCGGTCACTGCTACAAGCAGGGGCGGAAAGTCGACAAATTCTTATTGGCAAGGGAAAGGCGCGTAGTCAAGGAGACACATTCAAAACATTCAACACATGCCGCATGAGATACAATTACAGTGAAACCTCTTTAGACCGGACATATACGGCTCCCATATTGTTGTTATTGCATGGGAAATATAAAAACTAAAATTGTACATTTTTTCAAGATTTTGCTGTCAATCAAAAATATTATTTTCCTTCGAAATTGTTGTCTTCTTCTTCTTGTAAAATCGCACAGATTTCGTTGTTGAGTTTTCACTGTATACAGTTGTGTGCGTGCTTAAGTAATTATTGCCCCTTATCCATGAAACGTGTAAACCTCCCCATTTAATTCAATACGATCGAATGAATATGAAATGCGACACAGTAAAACATTTTCGGTCTGGTTAAAAGATGGAAAACTGCACCGCTAGTGGAAATGGCTGTTGAGATTGTTTAGGCCCGCCGTTGACTAGCGAATAGGGGCGCCGGCGTCGGCAATGTCGACGTCGACGTCACTGGCACAAAAATAAACCAACAGCTGCCTTGGAAATTGATCGTTAGGCAGGTTATTTCCTTATCAAGCGTAAACTTAGTGCGTCTCCGTGCTTTTTCTCTATTGGCATTTTGTTTGATATTGAATGCTAAACGTACGAAGGAAGTCTGAAAGCTTTTTGGCCATTGCACTATGAGTGATAAGGCTAGCATTACTCACACGTACTTGGCCCGATAAGATTCCTAAACAAACACAGTGCGAATTTGTACAAATAATCGAGGCTAACTATCAGTTATGAATGGTGCAGGTAACTCTGCATAGATAACCTATGCGTCACTCGTCAAAGCGGATTTTCACAATAAATGGAAAGCCTTATGAAGAGAAGACGCGGACGTGGCTTGCATTTGGGACAGAA